AAAAAAAACTGAATACCTTCATTAGTTTTGGAGATATTTCGAAAAAACGATTTATAAACAAATCACGATTTCTCAAAAACGGCTTGACCGATCTAGCAGAATTTTCATTCCATAGTTAGCCTCCACTCTTACCTACTATTTGACAAAATTTCAAATTTTTTGGAATTTTTTACCCACCTTTATCTTTTCTTAACTAAAAAATCACCCCTGGCCAGGGGGCACCACGCGCAGGCATTCTCAAAAACTTTTGTATTTTTACATTTCAGACCATTCTACATCGTTTCCAAGCAAAATTATAATTTTTTTTTTCCGGTCGGGATCGGACTATTGCAATGCTTCCATTCGGAAGCAAAAGTCTTTACAGGGGTGGGTAAGTCGACTCAGGGGGTGATTCTGAGTCGATCTGCACCTATAAATTTCGACATTTTTTTTCCACCCTCACTAACCTTCTTGAGATGGCCGATGGGGTAAAAAAAAAGTGTTTACAGGGGTGGGTAAACCGACTCAGGGGGTGATTCTGAGTCGATCTGTACCTAGAAAGTTCGACCTTTTTTTTCACCCTCATTAACCCTTCTTCAAAATGACCGATGGGGTAAAAAAAAAGTCTTTACAGGGGTGGGTAAGTCGACTCAGGGGGTGATTCTGAGTCGATCTGCACCTATAAATTTCCACATTTTTTTTCCACCCTCACTAACTCTCTTTTGAGATGGCCGATGGGGTTAAAAAAAATGTAAAGGGGTGGGTAAATCGACTCAGGGGGTGATTTTGAGACGATCTGTACCTATAACTTTTGACCATTTTTTTTCCACCCCCACTATTACATTTCCAAAATGGCCGATGGGGTAAAAAAAAGTGTTTACAGGAATGGGTAAATCGACTCGGGTGGTGATTCTGAGTCGATCTGTACCTATAAATTTTAACTTTTGTTTTCCACCCTCACTAACCCTCTTTCAAGATGGCCGACGGGGTGAAAAAGGGTCCACAGGTGTATGTAGATTGATTCACGGAATGATTAGACGGATTTGCGGAGTCCAATCAGTGTATTGGAAAAAAATAAAAATAGAAGGCTGAACTGAGTGCATTGGAAAAAAATTAGGGGTTGAGGGTGGGAAGAGTGTGCCAGGGTGCAAAGGAGATTCATGGTGGGATGAATTCATTCGGCAAAAATGATGGTTGAGGGTGGAATGAGTCATGGGGAAAATGAGGGTTCACGGTGGGATGAGTGCATTGGAAGAAATGCAGAGTTGAGGCTGGGGTAAGTGTGTCAGGGTGAAATGGAGGTTGATAGTGGGACGAGTCATTGGAAGAAATGAGGGTTAATTGTGGAATGAGTAGATGGGAAAAAATGGGGGCTTAACGGTGGGATGAGTGTGGCGGGCAGAAATGGGGATTTTGCCCAT